GGCAAATGAGGCACATTTCTCTTTGATTCTCCCAGAAACCTCAGCATCATCTGTCTTTTGGAGGATTTGGATTCTTGTATCTGTGATACCATCCATAGGGATACCAGCGGTGCTCAGTAGTAAAGAACACTTTGCTAAGTTGTTCTACCACAGGTCCTTGCTCAAGGGGTTCAACTTTTTCTTCCAACCTGGTTTTCAGGATTTGATCATGTGTTTCTTCATTATTGTGCACAGGATCTGGCCGAGGGACAGGTTTTGTGTGTTCATATGGAATGTCCACAGAAGTGTGGTAGTATACTATTGTCCTGCCATCAGAAGTCAGAGCAAGCTCTACTTTACAATTATAATCATCTGGCAGAGGAGAGTATGTAGATTTATGACAAAGACAGTATAAAGCTCCGTTTGGAATTGGAAATAAATGTTTCAAGATAGTTTTCTTTGACATCACCCATTTTACTGCAGCTACAGCCATGGTGTTTCAAGATACCTATCAAGTTGTATGAAAAAAGATGATCTGAAGAGAAACTGCTTTTAAAATCTGCTTCTAGGCATACTAATTTCTACTCCTGCTTCACAGCTTCTCACCACAAGCCCGCCATCTTGTTTTACCACAAGCCTGCCATCTTGTTTCAAGCCAAGTCTCCACATTTTGGTATTTTTTCAGCAATGCCCCACTCCACTGGTACCAATTTACTGTATTACTCCATTTCACACTGCTGATAAAGACGTACCTGAGACTGGGAAGAAAAAAAGATTTACTTGGACTTATAGTTCCACATGGCTGGGGAGGCCTAACGATCACGGTGGAAGGTGAAAGGTCTCTTACACGGCAGCAAGAGGAAAAATGAGGAGGAAGCAAAAGCAGAAAACCCTAATAAACCCATGAGATCTTGTGGGCTTATTCACTATCACGAGAATAGCATGGGAAAGCCTGCCCTCCAAGATTCAATTACCCTCCACACATCCCTCCCATAACACGTGGGAATTATGGGAGATACAATTCAAGTTGAGATTTGGAGACACAGTGAAACCATATCACCTGTCTCTACAAAAAAATACAAAAAACTTAGTTGGGTGTGGTGGTGCATGCATATAGTTTCAGCTACTTGCGGGGCTGAGGTGGGAGGATCACTTAAGCTCAGAAGATCAAGGCTGCAGTGAGCTGAGATCGCGCCACGGTACTCCAGCCTGGGCCACAGAGCAAGACCTTCTCTCAAAAAAACAAATATTGTGCCCATTCATTGAGTTACACTCTATGTCTCCTTTTGCACTGCAATGGCAATTTAGCTGCAACAAGAAGTCAGCAGTATTTACTATCTGGCCCTTAGCAGAAAATGTTTCTTGACCCTTGTTCTTGGCTCACAAATGCTAAGACAACATGAAGAGCACCTTGATAGAAAACATTTCTAAGGTATAATTATTATTATTTTTTTCTTTGGAGACAGGGTTTCATTAGGCTGGTCTTGAACTCCTGACCTCATGATCCACCCACCTTGGCCTCCCAAAGTGCTGGGACTACAGGTGTGAGCCACCTCACCTGGCCAACTTTTCTTTTCTTTTCTTTTTTATTTTTTTTTTTAACACAGGTTCTCACTGCCCTCACCCAGGCTGAAGTGCAGTGGTGCAATCACGGCTAACTGCAGCCTTCACCTCCCATGCTGAAGTGGTCCTCCCACCACAGCCTCCTGAGTAGCTGGGACTACAGGGGTACACCACCACAACAGGCTAATTTTTGTAATTTTTGTAGAGACAGGGTTTTGTCATGTTGCCCAGGTCCAATTCCTGGGCTCAAGTGATCTGCCCACCTCTGCCTCCCAAAGTGCTGGGATTATAGGCGTGAGCCACCCTGCCAGCCAGTAACAACTCTGAAACAAAATAATCTAAAGGCAGCTGTATCCA